TATATATATATATATATATATGTATGAATCAATCGTATGAATATAATATCATATTTTTATACAATAAAACGTTCTTATTTACTGTATCATATGTAATTATTTTTATAATAATATACTTCACAACTTAAAAACTCTAATGACAAAAATCTCAATTTTCGCCATTATTTTTGAGTCAAAGCAGTATAACAATCAAAAATAATAGAAACTTTAACAAATAAATTATTAACATATTGTTAAATAAAAATATAAATTATTCACACACACACACACACACACACACACACACAGAACTTCTTCATATGTGCATAGTTTTAAGTATTCACTTTTGTATGGGAAGTTTTTATAAATATTAACACATTTCCAACTTTAAACTTTTTGCAAGGATTATACGATACATTCTTAATTAATTCCCTTAAGCTCTGACTATTCTTGAGTTGCTTTCATCCGACTGAATTTTGCATTCTACTGCTCGGCGGTTAGGCTGATAATGTACCTTCCATGCACATTCCTATCTCACCTTCTCCGAGAGCTCGCTTCTCTTATCTCTCTCTTTCTTTCCTCGTTAAATTCTACAGTCTTTCTGGTTTGCAAACAAGCGACCCTTTAACCCACCCAGCCTCTAACTTGGGCACTAAAAAGTTTTCGAATAAAAGTTTAAATACGCCCCGGACAAACTTCGCCTCGCACCTTTCTCGCGACCTCGTAAGAATATGGCAGCTTCTGGGTCACCTGCCGCGAAAACACGTGGGTGCATCTTTACATTTACGCCTACGTAAACGATGCCTACGAATATGTACATACACCATCCGTTAACATTCTCTTTTCTGTTGGCGAAGCAATCATAACGGAGCTCGTATTTCATCCGGCCTAGCATCCTTTTGTTGCCCTTTTGTGCGTCGCAGGCTTGTTTAAGAAGTTTTGAAATAACTCGTTGAAAATTTAAGAGTCTCTCGCGGCACCTCTTCCAAAGTGCCGCGGCAAGCGTCAAGAAGAATTTGTTTCGCGAAGACAGAAAACAGGCGAGAAGAAAGGGATGAGCAAAGAAAGACAAAGGCAGGGAAACAGATATCGCGAATACGGCGAAGAAAAGTAAAATAGCGAGATATATATTACATTATTAATAGTTTTGATCCTCGATTTATCAAAGTCGCAGATTCATCTCGTATTTTCTTACACGTTTTCAAAAAATAACATCACTCTCGAAATACTAGCATTTTTTTAATAGAGAACCGTTACAAAACGTATTTTCCGTAAAACCTAATTAGTTGGCAAATGCTCTTAGAAAAGTATTCTTCTTCTTTAGAATCTATCTATTTCAAAGGTTTATGTCAGAACAACAAAAGTCTGACGCTTCAATTAAAGCACTTTGTAATTTCGTTCCACCAGGGTTTGGTTTGTAATTTTAAAGAGTAAATTAATTCTGATAAACGAAGAAGTTTTCCATAACTTTTCAATCAATATAAGAGGAAAAAAAAGAAGAATTTGAGACAAAATATCTGTAAATCATTTCATTCTGTTTAATTATAAATATGTATCTATATAATAAGTATTAAATATATTAATATATGAAATAAATTTTATTCCGAAAAGATTTCTGTTTAAGAATTGTACAAGAAATTATTTCTTTTGTTTATCAAAACGTGAAATTCTCTAAAATCTTAATTTAAATCTTAATCTAAAATCTAATATTAAACATATATAAAATGTATCACAATGTACATTATTAATGAAATTATTTATCCATTTTCTTTAACGATTAACATTATTTTTCAGGCAAATATTTACATGGCATTTACACACAGAAAAATGAGATTAATGATATTGCTTTGTCACCTTTTTATTTAATACACATTTGCTCTACGATGATCAATATAACATAATAGTGTATGACTAAAAATAATTTTGATATTCTTATCGGTCTTTAATTAATTATGATCGTCAGGATCGATTGGTGTAATTGTAAATGGTATACATATATGGGTAGGAATAGGAATTATTAAACACCACATGTATTTTCGATAAACTAATTTCAACCTCTTTTATTACAGAAGAATAAGATAATTTCATTTGACATTCAAACAAGGTTATCATGTGGCAAACAATATCATTATTAATTTATATTAAAGTCAAGGTTCTAAAAAAATTAAAGGAAAAGCATTTCTGTTTATTTCTAGTGAGTAGAGAAGAAATGTTAATTGCAATACAATGTAGCATAATATAATGTGCTTTTTAGCAAACAAATTTTAGTATTTCGCACTTACATTTAAATTATGTTAAAAAATAATAAAAAACTGAAAATTACATAAAATGTGTTGTGTGCAAACGAAGCTGTAGACAATCGTTTTGTAGGTAAACGGAGCCCTTCACACTACTTTCAGACTTGAAACAAGCAATTTGTGGTTACTGACTCTAGTTAATTTATATTTGCTACTGTTGTAAATAATAATTTAAATACGCAATTTCTTTCTTCTATTTCCTCTTTTCCTAAATAATTTTATATTTTAGACTTGTGTAATTTTTCTTGCAGGTGTACATAAATATCATTACTTAACTTTTTATTTAATATACAAAAAAAATGGACGCGTAAAAATGAAACTTGTTAGCAAAAATAAAAGTGGAATTGGAATCGCGAATGAAAATTATGCACCTAACAGACTGTTCAAGTGCTTTTTGGAAAATTAGATTTTTGGTATAATTTCGCGATCTCCTCTTTTTTGAAAATGCTAGTGTTATGGCTATCTAGATCGTGTACTATCACCAACAATGCAATCTCACTTTGTGCCGTGTGCATCCCACCTAGTATCTCGCAACGGCGTCAGTAATTGAATTTTAAATGCGCTTAATTAGGTCAAGCCACCGATGTAATATCGCAATATAAAATTAAAATGTGTATTTTCTGATTTGGACAAGCTAGTAAGGGTAAATCTTGATTAATGCTGTAGAAACCTAATAAAATCTTGGCACAGATCAACATCATTTTTCATAATATCAAGTTAATTGTACACGCCGTTTGCTTTTCCGAAAAACGTGATAAACGATTATACCTACATATTTTACATTCTTCACAGAAAATTCGTTGACTATTTCGTTCAATTATTTTTATCTTCCCGTTTTTCATACAAAATTACTTTCTCACTGAGAGCAAATATTCTCCATATTGCCTTCTCTCCTGTCTCGGATGACTCCTGATATGTCGTCGCGTGCATCTCCTGCATTTCGAATCGCAGATCGCTCCGTAAATGGCGTAATCTTATCTGGGCAGATAAGACGAACGGCAGTCCCATTGGAAACTGCTAGGCATTTAACGTCGTGTTCGTGAGTTATTGCATACCTCGACTAGGTCATTAATAACCCCCGTAGTATTAAGATTGATTCGGAGATGTAAGAGAGAGAGAGAGAGAGAGAGAGAGAGCGCGCGAGCGCGCGACGCGTCCCTTGCCGATTTCGCCAAAGTTACTCGTAATATTTAATCAGTAGTAGAGGCTATACATTATGGTAAAGTCTCGTCTCGCACGCAAAGTATGTGCATCTACGACTGAGTCGTTAATACAGGTAAATTGCATTAGCCTGAGGGATAATGGGTGCGATGGAGTTACGACGACGATTCTACTTCAGCGCGGCGAGACATCTCCATCGAAAGAACGTTTTCGATTACCATTATTTGCACATACGATCGCGCCGGTTCGGCTCGATTCGCAAAGAAATCGCGTGTTAGACTTATGCCTCCGACGCTCGTAAATCTCGGTTACGATCTTCCAGCTTTTACGATCGTCGGGTCGCGAGGAAAATTCAGCCGCACAGCGACATCAATATCCGGCAGCGCCACGAGCAACACCGGTGTGCTACCTGCTCGCGAAAATTCGCGAGTAACAGTTATTCATTAGAACGGTCAGTTTCTCCCCCTAGGCGCTTCGAAATAACGATAATCCACCTAGCGGCCGGTGGAGCTGGTACGGTAAAATTGCGAAGCTTAATGGTGGTAATACCGTCGTGGCCGAGCCTTGTATGGCGTTAATAATGCAGTATATTGAGATTGGTTTCGTGAGGCTGAGAAGGGGAGGACGGAGAACACCGAGCCACAGAGGCAGTGTGGAACCACTGGGACTTGACCTAGGCATCTGCCCAAGTTATTCGCCCTCCTTTAATAATACATGAACGCACCGATGCGCAGGTTCTGCGAGCCTAATATAAAGACTAATCCTGGAAACATGATGTACTTTATTCGAAGGATGCGAAACAACCGAACACAATTTCCCTCCGATAAACATTTCCCATCATTCACTGGCGTAAATTCCGCACTTGTTCAAAACAAATGATTCTCTAGAAAATTAAGACGTAATAATATAGACTGCACTGAAAAAAAATTTGACAATAGCTACCAAATGTTGAATGAAATAATTTCAATTACATGTTCGATTAATTTTATTTTTCTAAACGTTGAGTAATTATTACGGTTGTATGGTTATATTATGTTTTGTAACATTTACTAAAAATTTAGTAAAATAAAATTACTTTTATATTGTATTAATCAAACATTTGATTAAAATTATTTGTCTTAATTTATTTTAATAACTATTACCAGATTCTTTTTCTATTACCAGAGCATGTACATATACATACACAAAATATGCTTAAAACCATCTCACTCTTTGTAAATCGAAAGTGACTTTATATAAAATTCATAGGAATACGCAGTCTATTTTTATTACATCTATAAAAAAGTTAAGAATGTTTTGGCTCTCTTTGCATCAATTATTAAAACTGTATCAGCTAAAAAAGCCAATATCAGCCAATAAATTTTGGTTATGAATTTACTCCGAAATTAACTTCAAAAGTAAAACAAATAATTTGGCTTAAAATAGCTCATAAGTAATACTCATATATTTTGCTTTAGTTTTAAATAAATAACTTTTAAACGAGTCACAGTGAATCTAAATAAATTTTTGCACAAATATTTATTAAAGTTTAATTAGTGTATAAAAAATTTTTATTTAATTTGATACGTCGTCGTCAAATTTACAAGTACTACAAAACACAATTTTGCATAAAAATATAAACAAAAAAAATAAATCGACTTTTTAACTAATAAGAGAATTATGTTTAAATTTTATACAGATAATAGACAATCTATGAAACTTTTTATAATGCTTTGAAATGAGACACATGCATTCTTAAAAAAATATCGCAAATACTTTGAAATTCTCCCGACTTTATCTAAATGACGTCGAGGCTTAAAATGCAAACTGTTACTTGTCCATGAAAGACGCGTGATATATTGCCTTAATTCAGATCACCTTTTTCACGCTTTGTCTTCCTCCGGTTTAACATTATTTTTTTCTTCAAATGAGAGACACCTGCTTTTTCGTTCGCGATTGAATATAGTAGCGAAAAAGGTGAGAAAGGTGAGAAAGCACTTTAAGATTCAACGATTTGGGAATAAAATGTGGATAATGAGTTTGCCTTCGCGTGGGAATTGTTAGAGGATCGTCCGCCGGTAATATCGATTTTCGCGTCGTCGAATGCATATATTCAATAAGATTCTCACCTTCATTGTTAGCGCTGCTCTTGATCTCTGTCGCCTTCGGTGCCGCCGATGGCTTCGGAATGGCTGAAATAAAAATCATTCGTCTTTAATGACGTCGTATAACTTCTTAAATATCGGCCAATAAATTTAACTCTAACTCCACCGCCTTATTCATATTTTAACTGGGGTCATCTTATCTCCGAGCGGCGGGAATTGCACGGACCGGGTAGGATATAGCCAGGGTGGCGAAGAGGGTGAGGGGTGGGAAAGCGCGAGACATTTCCTCTCTCGGCGATTTAACCGTGCCGATTTACTGCTAACATCCACTCCGGCTTTAAATAAATCTTCGACTCGGGCGAAATTAAACAAAGGCTGGAGAATTCGCGATTTATGGAAGTCGTTTCACTTTTAAATTATTCACGTCGCGAACTGCGCGCTATAATATCACGCCAAACACACCGAGCGGCAGCGGTAGATGCACAACGATAGCGGTCAAGGGAAAAAATTGTTTGTCCGCATACACGAACGGGCTAGAAAATGCACGTCAGCTTACGGTATAATCTGATGGATCCTTCCGTCTCGCCCAGCGAGTTTTTGCTAATGCACCGGTAGCTACCGAAGTCACTCGCTGTCAAGTTTCTGATGGTGAGTCTCATGTGCGCGCGGTAGCTGTTCTCCATGATATTCGTCGCGTACTTCTCGTTGGAGAGAATCATCTCATCTCCTAGAAACCAGTAGCTCATGGCACGGGGATAAGCTTCCGTGTGACAATCGATCGTTACGTTGGTGCCAGTTGGCGCACCCACAAGCTGATTCGGCACGAAGATCATCGGAGAAACTGGAATGTGTTAAAGAAAGATTTATTACATCTCCTGGCTTTATGCTAGTTTTATTTGTTATTACATTATTTTTAATATCGACGCTTTTTTTTTTATGCTACGTTCTATTTTTATATTATATTACGTTTTACTTGAACATGTTTCATGTGAAAAAGTTGTGTATCCATTATAATTGAATTTTAATTGATTTTAAACTGCAGTGCTATGAAAAAAAATTATCTATTATTTGTAGGAAAAGCTATATGCAAAAAGTACACATAATTTTAAAATAAGATGCGTGCATAAGTTCTTCCGGAATCCAACAGAACAAGTTTTTTTTTAATTTTACAAAATGTAAGTATTTTGCATAAAAATCAAGTAAGTTTATTCTTAAAAAAATTAGATTATGGCGTACAGTTTTCTATCTGTGTCACTTTGTGAATAATTTTTGACAAGAATCACACAGAAACCAAGAAATACACGAAATTCAATATTTGCAGGGGATGTTTTTGTTAATAAGAACAATTCGTAAAATTTGTAAATAAAGGTAAAAAATTATTACTATACAGTTAAAATAATATTATTATTTATATTTTTAAATAATATTTCTTTCTCTACCTCTTTATTAATGTTATAAAAAAAGATTAATGTATAATGCTGTAGGATAAATAGACAGTAAATATAAAATTTCCGTAAGAACTAA